CTGCAGTGTGCACCAGTGACAGGGTGAGACAGGGACTACAGTTTGCACCAGTGCCAGAAAGTGAAGCTCTAGATGCTGGCTGCTTGTGAAAAGGGTTTAGCCCTGAACTGAGTGGATGGGGTGTTGCCCAGCGAGGCCCACACTAGGAGGGGAATACGGCTGTGGGGATGGGAGAGTGTGGAGAAGAGGGGAGAGTCGGGTTCTAGATGAGATAAAAACAAAGCCTTCATGCCCTTGGTACAGAGACACATTGCACAAGCTGAAAACCATGAGCTAAGAAAGCAGTATGAACCCAGAGTAATCTCCTTCTGCTGCGTGTGAAATCCGGCCAGGGCCCTACCTCCTCCACCGCGAACAGCTTCACGATGTTGACGTGGTTCAGCTTCCTGAGCATCTCAAACTCCCTCATCTGCACTTCGTAGGACCTGACGTAGCTCATGTTGTTGAACACCTTGACTGCCACCAGCTCACCAGTTTTCTGAGAAACAAGCAAAGTACACTCATACCCCGGTATAAGAACGCTCGGTATACGAATTTTTGCCAATCTGAACATGAAGAATTTCTGCCTTGTTATACACACGAAAATGTCACTAAACCGAACTTCGAAGCTCGAAAGTGACTGACTTTTGCCCGAGAACCTTCTGTGAACATCTAAAGTCAGCGCCACCCAACAGTTGCTTGTTTCTGCACGGGTGCAAGACATTGTGGTGAAGTACGCTGTGAGGCAGCAGTGCTTTGTTTACGATCACAGCGAAACCTTGTGCTCTCATTTTCAAAGTGTTTTTTTTTGTTGATGTTCATTATGGGGTCTTAAGGAAGAGAAAAAGACTCTTTATTGTATTAGCTAACAACAGAATGCACATCGTTCTAGCTGATCGCTTGGATAGCGATCTATTATGAAAGAATACATAAAATGTAATATTATGAATTATTTTACAGCTACAGTCGGCTTATTTGAGTAGAACCACATTGTTCACTAAGCTTGCTGTAATGGTCTGTATGGTATTATATGTCTAGGGTTGTTTTTGAGTGAACTTGTCTTCGGTTCTGAATGGGGGAGAATTTTCCCCATAAGAAATCATGGAATTTTTATTTTTATTCACGATCTCCTGCCTTCCGAACAAATTTCCAGGAACGAATTAGGTTCGGATACTGGTGTGTGAGTGTACTGTCAGTTCTGTGCCTAAACCCTGCCCATCCGCACACTTCTTCAGGATGAGGAATATTGTCTGGTATAATGCAGTGCACATCAGGCCCACTGCTGAACACTTTTCTGAAAAAAAAAGGCCCTGATAAATATAAAACAATAAATCCACAGATGTCAGTTATTTTAGAAACACACAGTGTTGAAGACATTTCTTAGCATTGCCCAAGGAGCTCAACAGAGATGTCGAGTTGCTGTGGCTTCTCACTCTGCAGGTGGCCAAGGCGCCGCCCCACTGAGAGGCCACACCACGCCTCTCAGAGAAGCAAGCTGGGCAAGGAAACCATCTCGTTTACTGGGACAGCTCCTGCTGCATCTCCTCCCGGGACGCAACAGAAAACCAAGACCCCGCAGCAGCTGGAGGTCCCAGTTCCGGCACCCTGTCTTTGGGGAAGAGTGCCTGCTACGTGTACATAACATTTCTGTTTCCTGCTCAAAACCCCAAAACTCCCTTAAACACAAAACAAGGAGAGCTGCTTTTCCCTGGACATCACAGCGGCCGAGCGTATTGCCTCGGCCGCCCCAGGAGCCCACACCTGATGCCGGTCACTATCCCCAGAGCCTGGCTCACTTGCCTTGCAGCCCTGCCGTTTTCCCACGTTAGCCCTGAGACTTCCAGACCCGTTCAACAAAATAAAGGTGGAAGCGCTACACAGTACAGTATCTGAATTCATCACCGTTAATAATAACCCACCTAAACTCAAGAGGGGAAAACCTTTCGCTAAACTGGGATCTAGTGAAGGCTCAGTGACCGCTAAGTACTGTTTAATAGGCAGCAGGCAGCTGGGAAATAAACACTGTAACCGAAGAGCCCAGCCTTCTGTGTAACTGGAAGACGGCTGACACACGATCCTCGCTGCTCTTGCCTGAGCCTGTCTGCCTTGTGTTTCGCTCCTCCAGTGAGCCAATTTGGGACCCAGCTCGTGCATCGCTTTGTCTGCCAACACACACCACCAAAATCACAGAGGTGGAATCATAATGCCTTCTGCTGGGCTTCCATTCCCCTGGCCTCACCGAACGCTCCCCTGACTCAGGAAGCACACAGAGCACTTCCGAGACGCCAGCTGCAGTTTCGAGGGAGATCAGACTCGTTCACGGGGAAAACAAATGACACCTAAACCAGAGTGGCTCGCACATGATAAAATACTTGCGTTTTCATGTCAGGTAAGCAGCCAATAAGTTGAACAGCGCCCCCTTGTGGTACTGATACCTTGTTGCGAGCTTTGTAGACACTGGCTGTTGCCCCCTGCCCCAGGATGTCCTCCTGTGACCACAGGTAGTTGACGGTGCTGGTCATTTTTTTTTTTATCTGTGGGAAAGCGTTGCACTGACGATGGCTTCAGGTCTGCAAGACAGTGAGAACAGAAGGCACTTCTTTACACAAAGGGGAGCGGGGATCTGGAACAACCTTCCCAACATGTTGTTGAAGTCTGGAAGGAAACGATAGATACGAGAAACCTACCAAACCAAATGTCTCACTCTCAACTCTGCTCTCTTTTGTTTTAACATTGTTCAGTAAACAACATGTTTATAGATCATTCTGAAGACTTGTTCTTTTAGAAGTTATATGTAGTTGATGTTTTTAAACCAATATCACAATATTTAACTATTAATACAGAGTACTATTTCACAGGCTCACACAATGTCTGTAATACACACACAGTGCATTACAAACAAGATTATTTAACAGCATCAGGGACAACAGCAGCAAAAATACAAGATTCCCTTTCGTTTTCAACATCTGCACTCCCAAATCTGCCAAATACCACAGTTTCAAATATTAGGAGGAATATATAAAGGCCATATGTGCAAAACTAATAATGAGAAAAGAGGCCTCTGAAAAGAGCTCATCATTAAGGGAAATAACCCTCAACACTGAGATTTGACATCAAAGCACCTGTGATGTGGAAGATTAGTAGAGTGCATTTCTGGACATGCGTACCCAAAGAAGGAATTTTAATTTGAAGAGTGCATGACACTTGACTTTTCATTTGAACTTCATTTCAAATACTTTTTGTCAGAACTCATGTCCCACAATCCTAAAAACCGTGACTCTGTTCACCGAGAGAAACCACTTGACTTGAGCTCAAGAAAAATCATACTGGGCATCTGTCCGAGACAAACAGAAAGAGTATCTTACATGACTGCGGAAACGAAAACAGTGCTAATACAAACACGGTGCTGATACTTTACTGCTCGTTACTGTGGCCGCTCATTTGTGCCTCTTTGTTTTCATATGGAAACTTTTGGTTTTTATATTAAAAACCAGACGAAACACAATCATTGTCCAGGTACTCAATAAAACATTCAGGTCAGACGTGCGATAGAAGTGTCACCTTGCGATGTGTTCTTACGGACCTGGGGATTCGTTACATGGGAACGAGGGAGCGTCAGGGACACACACTCGTCCTCCTTTCACTCGCGATGAGTTTAGCAGGAAACTGGGAGCAGTTCACGTCGACTGCCACTTGTGTGGCTGACACTACGAAGTGTTTGTGTAGTCAGCAACATTTTAGTATCCTGTTTTTAAAGAAGAGTTGAGAAAAAAACAGAAAGGCGGAGGACAAGAACACTCACCTCTTTTTAACGGCAGGAGAGGGAAAAAGACAAAGGAGTGTATTCAATCACAGGCCATGCAGGTGACGGGAAGGCTGGCTCTTGTGAAACAGCTGTTGCAACGTTCGGTACAAACTTCACAAAGGAAGCCGGTAACTTCCTGCCTGTGAACTGTCAGAAAAAAAACCCCCAGAGTTACGATGACCTACTTTGGAAATGTCATTTTGTTTACATTGCAAAGCTGCCTTATGTTCTTCTTCGAGAAGCGCAGCGCTGAATTCCAAGACCGTTTGCCTGGAGACCTGCGCAGGCCTGAGGGGGATTTCCCCACAGTGTCTGCACTCCAGCCTGCAGACCAGGAGAGAGCAGACCCAGAAAACTTGCGATTCCCTTCACGCCCCCGAAGTTGAGGACACCAGGTTGGGAGGCTCTCTCAGGGACAGTATTACAGAGCACCATTAAATCCCCATTTTCTTAGCGCACAGAACAGACTCAGAGCAGTCAGTTCAGCAGGTGTTTTGCTTCACTTTTAGGAATCGTCTGTGGCCGAGACATTAGGACATTCAGCCCTGAAGCCCATTTCTTACAAATGATGGACACAGCTTTAGAAACAGTCACTGGGTCTTCAGAACCAGACTTGGACTCCCTGTTCATTGGCATGAAAAACACTTTTCATTGTGCTGACCCCTGTTACAGCAGGATGGCTATCCCGGACTCTCGAAAGTGTTTAACCCCACTGTCACCACGCGCACGACTACGGGCTTTCTGGCACGGTGGGCTCAAGGCTGGTCCGGGCCGAGCCAGGTGAGAGGACAGCGGACTGCCTCAGCACCGGTGGGATGAGTCCTGCACGGCCTCTCCCAGGGCTCGCCGCCACACAGCCGACGCCTCAGAGGGCCAGGAGCTCCGGCCTGCCCTGGAGAGGCCCTGTTTCCGACACGCAGCTGCCCAGTGCCCACACTCCACAAGGATCATATTAGTCGCCCCTGGAGTGCGGGACAGTAGGGCTTTGCTGACACGGGGTCTATCTGATAGGGGAAGGCGTTCGGCAGGAACTTCAGCAACCCACACCTGCCTGCTCGCGTCTGGTGAAAGCAACAGAAAACTGGATTATACATCTACAGCAAAAGCATGCATAACGAGGGAAAATCATCTTTTCACAAAGGGTGGTAGGAGTGTGGGACAAGCTGCCCATGCATGCTACTGAAGCTGATACCCTGTTTTGTTTTTTCCAATAAATGTCTGGATGAGATCCTGGGATCCATTAACTACCAACTACCCTTGGAGCTGTTCGGGCCAAACAGCCTCCTGTCTTTTGTAACCTTCCTTATACTCTTATTAGTCCAGATGTCTTCTATTCTAGTAGGAAACCCTCGGACGACGATTCAATAAGCTCATCAAAGAAGTAAAAGCGTACTCTGTACACACCGTCTTTGGGCAGGTATTAAAAGAGCAAGCGACGTCCAACAGGAACAGTATGTAGCGTAAGAAACATGTAATGATGATGATTAAGGATGACTAAGACAACATCCACATAACAGCAAACACCTGGTCTAACTGGTTTTAATGATCCAGTATAACGCAACAAACAGAGACGGGAGCGCAAGAGACGCAACCTGGTTCATGTTCATCCCAATTGTCGTAGTCTGGGATGACCGGCTTTGCGCTCCCAGAGACTTGCTCGGATTTATCAATGTATGAATCGCTCGCTGTAGTGCTGCGCGTTAGCAGTCGTGAAGGGAAAATAATAAAAAGTCGATGAAGTCTTCATAGTGTGACGCCCTCGCCTGGCCTTGCGGCCGGAGAGCGCGGTGAGGGGAGCCTCTGCCAGCGCCGTTGACCATACGGAAAATAGTTATAACCCAGTTCTGCACCCCTTTTACACCTGTGCCCACTCACCACCCTATACCCACGTACCAGTACCCGGAGTGACCCTAGTGTGCTGTAACCTGCTTTGGCTGGTCTTAGTTCTTGTGTGGTTGCTGCTGAGCCGGACACCCGTCTGACTAATAAAGTGCCGACTGTACTAAAAGAGTTATCGTCTCCATCCTCGCCGCGCCCGTCGCGTTACAATATTTTCTTTTCCACTTTTCCCTGTCTTATACAGGGAATGGATGGCTCCTGTGAAGCTGATTTGAAGCCCTCACTCACTACTAGGAGCAACGCAGTTTTTGCTTCAATGTAAAAAAAAAAAAACCCAAAACAATCCGAATTACTGCGAAAACACCCAAAGACATTACAACTGCGACTCATACTCCACAATCCGATTTATTCATGTTCCGCACTGTATCCATTTCAGTATCGATTCTGTCAATGGGCTTATGCATAACAAAGCTTTTTACAGAAACACAAGTGAGAACACATCGAGACATTCCGAAACCCATCAAAAGTAGAAAACACAACCTTCCTTAAAGAAGCCAACGTCTCGCACAGCTTTCCTGAACCGTGAAAACTGGGATCTTTCTGCAGAAAAGTGTGATTTACCTTTTTCCCTTTAACACCAGCTTCACCGAAATTCAAGGCTCATCCAGCGAAGTCCAGGAACTAACGCTGGTTTCGATTTGTCACAACTTCCTAGTTGAGATCCCTCTGTGCTTAAAGAGACAGACTAAAAATGATTTATATACAGTATAAGCGATATTAAAAGTAGTTCACTTAAACTTCCTCCAGTGAGTACCGATTATTATAGGCATATTTAGCGAGAAATAAAGTTAATCCCTTTAGACGTTAGTAGCTGCAGCTACTATGCCATTACAGGATCAACTTTAAAACAACTTTGTTATGTAGTAAATGCTTAAAACTCCCTTTAGGAACGGAAAGGTGCAGTGGCTCTACGGCTTATGGTATGCGGGTGTGGCTGGAAGGTTGCTGGTTCGTATCCTACGGCCGGCAGAGGAATCCTACTCCTCTGGGCCCCTTAACCCCAACTGCTCCAGGGACGCCATACTGTAGAAATGGCTAACGCTGCGCTCTGACTCCAAGCTTCTCTCCCTGTCTGTCTCTTACGGAGAGCAAGCTGTGGTATGCGACAAGACAAACTCCTAATACAAGAAATTGTATATGGCCAATAAAGTGATTTAAAAAAAAAAGCTTTGTGGATTTCCTAGCATTTCGTTTGAGTATTTCAAAGTACAACCGATTCAGCGTCAATACTGTATTAATTTATTTTGTGACTACTGCTGTTGCTGCGAAAAAAAAAAGAAACATCATTGTCGTATCCATTCAAAAACCTTTTAAAATAATTCATCGACACATTTAGCTCTTGATTATTAGCGCAAATGTCCACACGAGGGCAGTATAACGACACCCCATAATAAATGTAGGCGTGTAAATCTGCTCTTCCCTGCTATTGTATACCCGCCTTCACCGTTGTGAGGGCTTGATGACCTGAAAATATCGTCAGTAATTGTAAGCGAGCTTTTACACAAACGTTACTAAACAATTCGAAAAAGGGACAGGGAGATATTGATGAGGAGAGGAGGCAGACAACAAACAAAATGAATAAAATCAGGTAAATATCTTCCAGTTTTATCCAGTTTACGGTCAAAGGGGAGCCAACGTCTATTCTACCAAGAAAGGGGATAGGCAGGGTACACCGTAGTTGGGACGCTAGTCCATTGCAAGTTACACACAAACACACACATTCACACCTGGGCCAGTGTTCCCAAAAGCCAATTCATTTACCAGTGTGTCTTTGGAATGTGGGAGGCAACTAGAGCACCCAGAGGAAACCCACACAATCTCCCCACAGATAGCATCCCAAGTCAGGAATCGAACCCAGGGCCCCAGCACTGCAGGGGAGCAACGCTAACAACTGTACCAGCGCGCCACCTGTGACGGATGGATGAAGACAACGAAACAGGTGAAAAAATCCTAAAAGAGGATTAAAAAAGCTAAAATAGTCCACAGCCTGCTCTTAGGAACAGAACAGAGACCTGCATCAATAGATGAAGGATTGAGCCCCGACAGCAGGAAACGGCAGTAACCAGCGAAGGACGAGACGAAGGACAAAACGCCTGTGCGCCGCCCCAAATGGAAGTGGACAGAAATAAGGACAAAGATGACTAGAGAGGATCAGACGGAAGGAGAAGATGGTGCAGCCTGGATATCCAGAGCACTTAGCATCACAAGTTCGCGCCCAACCCGACAGTGCCTGGGTCTCCTCTCCCTGCGGGCCGGCACCCACCTGCCGGTGCGGGGTCCCGGGCTGAAAAGGCAGATTCTGGCGGCGCGGTGGGTCATCTGGGCCCGCAGTGTGCTCGTGCTCCGCCTCCTTCCTGAGTCCCACGTTTCAAAGCCCACGACGGTGAATAACCTGCAGCATCGCACCAGTTTTCTCTTCCCCTTCAGTCCATTGAAAGGTTTTCCTCTCTCCCACATCTTAAGCCCACCCTCAACCTTTAAGCCGCACCCTTAAGCCTGCTTTAATAATAACGTAAGAGTTCAGATCGGTGACGCAACTGAACCCAGAAGAGCCCAAAGCCAGTCACACTTACGGTGTAGAAATGTAGTTTCCTGAATGAATGAATGCAATGTCAGTGATATCTATAGCAAGCAAGTTTTATTTAAAAAAAGGTTTACTACAAGAACTACACATGTACTCGTATGAGGTCTATTTCAGAGTAAACTACTATTGCTATTACTGTACAATATTGTACCAAAAAGAATAACGTACCTCTGCAATGTACAACTTTGTATATACAAAGTACATTCAAACACAGGTTTAGTCAGGTAATATATAGACATTTCAATGGACCACTATAAATATATTTGACATTACAGTCTTTTTTGTTGGTTTTATTTTTTAAAGTTGACGAGAAATACCAATTTAATAATTACAGTAATATAATTAAAAAAATCCTCACTCAACCAGCTCACAAGCACACAAAGGCAATTTCAAGTGCATCTTGATGTCTGACCATAAGAATCCGGAATAGAACCTCTCCAAGGTTTGAGCTACGGCACGGAAATTACGAAAAAAGTAAGGATTAAAAAAAGCACAGTTTTTTAAGCTCATACTGTATAACGCGAGCTAATGCCATTTTCTGTTCTACACATCCAAAACACTGAAATCCAGTTTCACAGAAGAGGTAGGAGACACGTCACGTAGTAGTCAACCTACCCACATGTAATGCAATCAGATAAGGTCTATTCACAATGCAGTGATCACAAGGAGGATATTCAAATAGCAATAGAAGGTACATGGAGATTGAGACAGGAATGTCTGAGATACACAGTAACAAAAACAACAATACAAAAATAAGCTCCAGTTTTTGACCAAAAAAAAACAGTTTCCGATGCATTTATTTATTCAGTGGATCCTTAACGCTACAGAGGTCTTTGGACAAGCGATGTCCTTCAGTCCGCTACAGTTTGTCTTCAGGTGACAGCAGAGCAAGGAGATGGGCGAGGGGTCCGTGGCCACACTGTCCTTCTCCGGCTGGGACGCAGACCTGCACGCCGGCCCTGGTCCGGCAGACTTTGGTAGGCGCCCTGCAGCTGCTGTGGAAGATGGAGAAGCCTGCAGCAGCCCCCCTGCAGCACGGCTGTTCATTACCCTGTTCGTCTGATTATTGCAAATCCCCCTGATACGCTGGCACCTCCATTACAGTTAATGAGTCACCTGATTCTTCCTATAATGATCGCAGGCCCCAGCACAACCCCTAACTGGCTACACACCTGCCTCCTGCACTGAGCAGTGCCCAGGGGTGAGAGTAGCCTGGCTGGAGTGCAGAGCGAGGCAACATGGGAATCCCATGAGAAGATGAAGCGCCTTCCCCCCTCTCCCCCACCAAATACACGAAAACACAAAAAGTCAAACTCCCTAAAACAATATACAGAACCCCATGGCTGAGCCGAACACCTCAACCAACCCCCGCCCACCACAGTCTGCAGATGGGTATTGCTGAGACTGAGACAGAGATGACAACGCCCTTTCCTCCACCCCAATTACCCCCTGCTGCTGAAGTGCACAGGCGCGCTCTCTCTGTGGCTCTCCAGGGTCACCGAGCTTTTCTTCCTGGGGTGGACAGCGCTTGCCGACGCTGCCAGGTGTTCAAGCAAGCGACAGCCTACAGGCCTGCAGAGACACAGCTCTCTTGTGCCATCGGAGCTCTGGCTTCTCCCTGGGTCAGAGCACTTCTCAAAACCTGCATCCATAGAGGCTCCATGTGAGCCCCTCTACCCAGTGCCCAGTGGCGCGGCAATGAGTGGGCTTCAGGGCCCGAAGACATTGAGCGCAGGACTTATGCACACCGCATTTATCTAAAACTGAAAAATCTTTTAAAAGAAATCCACAGAGCCGTGAATGATCCAGTCTCTTTTGTCAAAGCTTCCGGAATAAAGGATATCAAAAAACAGCTGTAAACACTCGGGACAAAACTCTTTCGCTTGGCTTGAACCCAGGGCACAGGCTCTGCAGGCCTGCGGGGGATCTGTGGGCTCAGTGACCACTGACTAACACAGTGCTTTAAAAGTAAACGCACAGTAAAAAGGCAAGACACAGGCAGGTATTGCTCTTCCATTTGTCCCCAATAAGACTCGGAGGATTCAGCGTTAGTTTACTACTGAAACTGAGCAGCTTGGTCTTGGGATCTGAACTGCAGCGATTGCTGGAGTTAGAAGTCTATACCCGCACATTGATCCTCCCCTGTTCATAGTACAAGACGTCTTCTTACTAAATACCAAGTCAAACACATACACGTGTCTTTCTATGAGCTAAGAGCAGGGAGCTGCAAGAGTGCGAGAACTGCACAGGAGCAAACAGAGGCTAATTCCATGCCAGGAACAGGACTCCAAAAGACCACAGCACTTTGGCCGAGTGACTCATCTGAAGAAGGCCCCTCTGCCATTTTACTGTGTATACTTCAAAACATACTCTAGCAGTTTATTTTACTAATAAGAGGTAACTTGCAACTTAATGTTAGTGGAATAAAACAGGTTGATATTTATGAAAAAACAATTTTCATAATATACACAGAACTCACTGAAATCAACAAGGATATACGGCGCTAGATTTATTGCTGCTGGAGCCATTTCTCTCTCAGACTGTCCTCCCCGCGCTCTGTGATAGGCCCATCTGAGAAGGGTCATGGGTGAAAGGTCAAACCCTCTTAACCTCCCTTCCCACTATTTCAAGAGGAATCACATTTCAGATGAAGTTACAATATACAGGATGTTAAGACAAGCCTTCATTTGTTGTATTTTGTTCTTAAAAAAAGCACAAAAATGAAAAAAAAAACTATAAAACCTAAACACATAAAAGCAAAACAAAAGACAAATTCATTTAATCTTATAATACTTATAATAAAGAATATAAAAAATATAATTGTGCTTTGACCTAATCCAATGCACTTTTAATATGGAAAACTCCCTTAACAAACATTAAAATGCATTATCTCCAGTATTCCAGTTATCATACCTGTCTGTAGATAGTACAGAAAAAAGGACTATTGTCTTTACAGTCAACCAGCCAGGCATAAAAATCTGTAAGGAGGACCTACTGATATCATGGAAGATCTAATGGCTGAGCTTTTTAACCTCACCATGCTTTCAAACAGCGGTGACTCTCAAACTAGCCGCGGGTCCATCAGAGCATGAACCGTTTCGCATTGTGGCCAGGGTCAGCATGAAGGCTCCCAGCAAACGCGCAGAAAACAGAACTAAAACTTCAAAGAAGCTTCCAACATCTACACCTGACTCGGCGCACTGCCTTGCATGAGTTTTTCCAACAAGGATGGAGGGAGTTAAGCACTGAACTCGCTGCCAGGCTTGTCAAAGCCATTGAGTCCCGAAGTCTGTTATGACTTAAATATTGACATTATCTCACCACTGTCTACCTATCTGCGCAGAAGCTGTGTGCACGTTACTTCACTGCTTTCCTGGCAAGAGTGTGGAGATTATCTTACGCATTGGAGGGGATGCAATCGTTGTCAGCATCTGTTTCCTGACACCTACTCTGCTGAACTAATTCCGGAGGAATGAGATGTGGAGGGAAAAAAAGCAGTCTTGACAGACCTATCGACAAACAGGCAGAACCTTCTTCTTTTAACAGTGTCCAATTTAATTTTCCAAGAAAGATCATCGGGAAAAAAAAAAACAACTTTCTCTACCACCCTAAAAATCTTCCGTTTGAAAAAGGAAGAGAACACCTTTGCTGGTTTCTCGTTTTCCCTGTACAAAGAGTGAATCAAACTCGAGTGTTTTGTTCCGCGCTGAGGAATCCAAGTCTCTTCCTACTCGAGCAGCGGAGTTACAGATCGTCTCCTCTCCCGGCCCACGTTCACAGCTGGGGATCAGTAACAGGAGCGGCCAGTGACACGCCCGTACGGGACAGGGGTCAGAGAAACCACAGGGGCCCCTCGAGAGTTCCCGACCCTCTCTCTCCAGAGGGCCGGCAAGGGACAAAAGATCGGGATGAATCCTATTCCAAACAGGAGGTCCTACATATATGTGTAACAGATTTAAGACCAAAAAGGGAGCAACCAGCAAGCTTTTCTCAGACTCAGGCTGCTGCTCCCGATGTACGCGTGCACAGATGTCTTCCAGAAAACAAGTTCTACATTCAGCTCCCCATGCAGCTGCGGAGAGTGATGTCTTGATGAAATGATATTCTGCCTCGTCCCCAGGAGCGAGGGGGAGGCAGGCCTTTCTCTTGCTGTGAGGCTCTGCTCGGCCCGCCGCCCGCTGCCCGCCGCCGCCAGCAGGGGGCGCTCTCACAGGAGGGGGGGGGGTGCCTCAGACGGGACAGGACTTGTCAGTGGGGGCGAGCGGGGGAGGGGGCGTGGGGGGCCTGGTGGAGGTGGGGGAGCCCACAGCAGGGCTGGCAGTGCCGGCCTTGGGGAAGACGACGGGTTTGGGGCGGGTGGCCGGGGGGCGCCCCTCCCGGGTGAGAGCGGGGCCCTTGGCGGGGGCCTTGGCGGGCCGGAAGCCGCCGGGCACGTCGCTGGCGGAGCTGGAGCTGCGCTGCAGGGGGTGCGAGGACGAGTCCGAGTCCTTGAGGAGCCGCGAGTGCAGCGGGCTGGAGGGCTCGGAGGTGGGCCCCAGCGCGGGCGCCGGCGAGCTCTTGAGCTGCTCCAGGGTGTCCAGCACCACGTCGGGGGCGTGCTTCACGCTGCTCTGTCTCTCCAGCTCCCGCAGCTCGTTCAGCGCCGTGTTCATCGTCGCCTCGATGTCCTGCAAGAGGGGCCCGAGGCCAGAGGAAATGACATCACAGCTCAGACAGGAAGCCGCGTTCGGCGATGGCAGGCAGGCAGGCAAGCAAGCAAGCAAGCAAGCAAGCCGCAAAATCAGCACCTGAACACGCAAACAGGAGACGCAGAAAGGAAGGCCGAGTCAGGAGGTACTGGGTTATCCCACCCATCTACAGGTGGGCACTTCCAGCAGGCTTATTGAAAAAAGGGTGATGGAGACATTCGATTGCAGTAAACGGAGATGTAATTTTTTCAATATTAATTAAGTGAATGAATATTATCGCATCAATTTAATGTTAGCGTTTCACTTGTAAGCCGTTTCTCTGAGGACAGTTGCCCTAAAGAGAAAAGCTATTTTAACAGCTAGACCTGCATTTCTCTCGCTGGGCCTCTCGAGCTCAGGGGGGTGTTCTTATCAGCCTTCCCTTCACTGTACAGGCTCTGTGAGAACAGGCTCAGCTATGTTTAGGCTACTGCAGTAGGATCTGAGCCGAGCCTTCAAGGTGAGCAGGGCACCCAGATAATTTCCAAACAGAGGGAGGGAGAAAGGGGGACTAGTGACTGTTGGAGCACAATCCCTTAATTGTTCATCGGTAACCGGAGAGGACCTGAGAAATTATTAATAGCAGAAAACACCTTTTAGGTGCGCAGGGGCCTGAATAAAGCCCACACTACCAGCACAGGACAGGACCGCGTGACTGATGTCTGAAATGTGACGAGGTCCGCGGTGAAAGACGCCAGCTAACTATTGGGTTTCAGAGAATTACAAATCAAGGGGCTGAGCAGCGTGAGGCCCAGCACCAGGCAGTCTGAAAAGCCCTAGTGCAGCATAAATTATCTGTCTTCTCAGGCTACTGTCTGGGCAGAACGAAAGGTCATGGTCTCGCTTGCTGAAAAGGGCACAGTCACCACTCTGTGGCACTGGCTGTAACCTGTGCACCGATAGCATCCGCGGACCACGAGCTCAAGCCAAGGGTTTGGACAAGAGGGGTATCAGTCCGGTCCTGGTAGCTGTGCTTTTCACAGCCGCACGCGATGAACCACAGGAACACACGAAGCCTGCTCCTTTTCATTTATTACATTCCAAGCTGTTTTAGATGGAAAACCACTCGTTATTTCTGGAGTTTGGTCGGACGTATCCGATTCCAAACCTACACACAGAACAACAGAGCCTGCTTCTCGCCAAGCAGCACACAGCCGAGCAGGAGGAGCTTTGACCGAACCAGTAAATCGGGGATGCACACCTGGGAGCTGTGCTCTACCTGCGCAATGACTTCGGGGTCCAGGGGCCGGTGGTTGCTGAAGCTCTTAGAGCGCCCTGCGGTGGCGGCCTTGCGGAACTGCGGGCTCTCCACCTTGCTCTTCAGGGAGGAGTGGCGGGTGATGGAGTTGAGCACACTGTGCGCGCTCACGGGCCTCTTGTCCGGCCCCTCTTTGGGCAAGCTGCCAGCGGGCATGGAGGTGGCCCGGATTCCGGCTGTGGCCCCTGGGGATCCCTCGGCCAGCCCCTCAGTCGTCCGAAAAGACCTCCGGATGCCCCCTGCCTCTGGCCGCTGCCTCAACCTAATGAGAGAACAGGGGAGAAGATGAGACACTCCAGAGGACCTGTGAATGCATTAGGAAAGGAAAGGGATGGCTTCAGCACTCTCCGCGTCTCGTACTTGTTGAGGTTGGCCAGGTAGATATCCGCCACGTGGCCTCCTGTGGGCGAGCTCACACTGCCCCTGGTGGACACCTTCTCCTCCGGCGGCGGCGGCACCTCCGACGCCACCTCCAGCTCGGCCTTGGGGCTCGACCGCTCGGTGAACCCGTCCTCCCTGTGGCACAGAGACAGAGCGGAGCACAGCGGGAGAGCCACGGTGAGTCAAGACACCCAGGCGGGACAGTGACCTCGCTGGTGGCCTGGGGCAGCCCTGCCTTTTGTAAATCACCCCCGATATGGCTCCCCAGCTTTAACTCCTGCCAAGGGTGGTGTGGAGCAGGCGAGAGAGACAGCACTAATTCCTGATTTACACAGAGTTTTACTTCAACGGCCCTTTAAAACGTCCCCTAATTTTACACTAGCCTTGCTGTCAGTAAATCCCGTGTGAAAAGCAGCCACTCTGACAACTAAGCACAGTCCCCACACAGTCCTGGTCAGCAGCGAGCTTGTATTTTTTCTGAACAAAGCTATCTACAGTATCCAGCAGAGCAAAAAAAAGAAGAGCACGACCTTTTTTCACTTTCCTCGAGACAGGACACAGCCAGTTTTGAAAAGCCTAAACCTTTCCCAAAAAAAAAGAATGCATATTTGCCTTATCGTAATGGCAAAGACTTTCAAAAGATGAACCCAATAACAGAAGATTGCAGATGGACATGTTTTGGTCGTCTGGAATCTGACCGACTGATTTGTCTGTGCTGTATTTTCGCGTGTCAGTGGAACACGAGCAAATGAATAACATAAAAAACAGCCGTATAAAAAAACATCACGCAGAGCTAACAGTATAGTGTCACACCTTAATGCTAAGGAGGATACATGCTTTGAACTGAACGTTTTCAAATGTTTCCAGAGGCCGACAATGAAGCAAATCCAAAAGGTGTAGATAAATATCCCTTGCTGTGAAAAGTCAGCCAGTGTACTTTCCTGCAACACAAGCTCTTTCTACCTCTACACACGCAGACAGGAAAAAAAGAGGAGAGAGGCCTTGTGTGTCCTGGAGAGGGCAGTGTGGAGTAGAGGTTAGTGCTCCAGACCCATCACCAGAGGCTCATGGGTTTAAGCCCAGATACAGACGATGTATCTGGTAGGGAAGTATCCTGGAGATAGCACTCCACTCAGCTCCGGGGGATAAACGGAAGCTGGCGTGGTCTGGGTTCGAGGCTGTGATGGACAAACAAGGGGTGGGGGGTTTGATTGGACAACCACAAGCCTGTGCAATTGTTGAGTTATCTTTAACTCCTCAATTGTCACAAGACATGGCAGGCAAGCAGCACGAACCCCCAGGAGGACCAGGAGGCTGCTGGAGAAAGCACGAGCAGGAGGAAGGTCTTGCACAGGTCTTGAGGACCAGGCTGATTGGTTTCGGGCAGGAGGGCTGAGTGGTGGTCATTCCCCGAGATCAAGATTGATGGGGTCAAACGGCTGCTCTCCCTCCCACATCTATAAACACTGAGGTGTTAAAGAGAGCCCTAGAGAGCGCCCTGGGCTGTGGGTCTCACTGGGCCTGTTGCTGGACTACTGCATCCGATCCAGAGTGCCGCCTTGTACTGTCAGCCTTCTTATCCCTATGGAGACGGGGACTACGTTCCAGGCCCAGTGGGCTCCGACAGGCTCAACTCACATGTCCTGGACCACGATGTACTGGTGAGGGACCAGCCCGTCCACGCCATTGTGCCGCCCCTCCCACCAGTCATTGGAGGCGCGCTGGTACAGCAGCAGAGACGCCCCCTTCTTGAAGGACAGCTCCCGGGCTGTGCGCCCCGAGTAGTCGAACTTGGCAATGGCCTCGATGGGCTCTGACTCTGAAACCGACAAGCACCCCAGGTTAGAAAGGGACCCCCGACTTCACCGCTGCCGCCATGCAAGGAGAAGAAACAACGGCGCAGGGCGAGAGCGGAGGAGCAGTCCAGAAGGAAGTTTGCGCACGCAAGGAAAGGACCCGTCCTGGCCTGTGGGGTCTTATTGCTAGTCGTGCCTCAGTGTTTCGCGGTGGAAGACGGCGCTGGCACGAGAGTGCGACGCGGCCCGTTAGCAGCCCTTGGCTCCCTGCTGCAGCTCGCCCCCCACTCACCATCTTCGCTGTTGTGCTTCTCGGAGACCGTGTCCGGCACGGAATCGTCTGCCGTGGGCGGCTCACTGTGGGGGCTGTCACTGCAAAACACAACGAGAGCCCAGGTTCAGGACGGGGGGCGGCGCCCAGGTGCGAGCACTTTGCGACGCCGGGAACGACTGAAACCCTTTCTTCACGCCCACTTCCTGACGGCTCTGACCAGCTGTGCAAGACCGGTGTTCAAAACCTCCTTATTTACCAGAAGATCCGTTTCTCTCTTTCCCCGAATCTCCTTGCAGACGCACTCTCGAGAGCTGTACAATCAGGTGACGTTTCCTATCGGATTGGAATTTTTGCCTAGAACGTCAACAAGTGCCACTAAGTCGTGGTTCTAAGAACAAAAACAGGCTGTTGCTGTCAGCGTACAGGAAGATGTACAAGTGTCAGGTAATTCTGCCTCATATTTTCCAATTAGGTCCAGTAATAAGACTTACAGTACTGGTCAGAAAAGTAGGATGCTGGGAGATATATGATCATGCAAATTCTTCAAAACAACCTAGGAAATGTGAAATTTGTTTGGTTACAACAATATCCAGGGATTTACTGGCTTTTCTCAGTCAGATACTGTGTGTGGTACACATAGCAAGGGGAGAGCTGTTCCTGGACCTGCGGCCATTGCTGCACATACAGTATGCATTGCTGTTCAAGGGAGTGTTAAGGGAAATGGCCACCACAGAGCCAGGGGACACTGGAGCATTAGGCATGGCTGCCCCAATTTTTATTCTGGGCTCGGTACCGTTCAGGCAAGATTGGGGAAGCTGTGCAGAGCAGTCTCCAGAAAACAATGCCCAGTTCTTCATCCTCTCCAGGCGCTTTTAAAGTGAGCTAAACCGTGTTAAATTTGTCAGATTCATAAAACTGTCCGCCCTGTCCGCTCTTCACAGTTAGGATCCCCACTGTTTAAGCTCAGACAGGAGGCAGAGGCTCTGCGTGTCGGTGCACATCGCCCCAAATCCCTTATGAGCAGAGAAGCATCACCGTCTGCATACTTTCACAGGGATTCCAGACAGACATCAGATGCCAAACTTATGCTCAAATCAGGATCACACCTTCCTCATTGATTGGCTAATTTCCTTTTAAACCGTTCCGTTCCAGAGATTTCGACTCTTCACAATTCTCCTGGAATCCGTCTCCCAGATTTCCTTCCGTCTGGACACTCTCTCACCTGCTGGGCCTGCTCTCACAAGCTCTTCCCTTTGTTCTCCTTGGCCTCATGTTGCTGCTCTCTCTCCCTCCTGTCCGAAGAGGCTCCACAGCCCAGACGTGCTGTTTTTTCGTCCTTCTGCGTTCCAGCATGGAATTAACCTCTACGAGTGCCACGAAACGCTGACTGACAAGAGGACCAGTCTCTTAGTGGAATACAGCTTTACTTCCTGTGCTGGACTACTGCAGCGTGTGTTGCATCAGGAAAAATAAGTGTTCGCACTGAACACCTGAACCTGAAGGGATTTTGTCACCTGTAAGAGCTTGAAAACATTTTCTTTGCCAAAGTAAGAGCAGCCGCTTTGCGGGGAAGTAAACTCCTCTTGTGTAATGGAGAAACTGACCTCTGAGGTGTTTTTTGCATGCAAGAAGAACACTGAGTTGGAAACAACTTGTTGTTGTTTAACCAGGCGGGACAGATGGGTCGACTGGCCTCCTCTCGTCGGCAGCCTTATGTTCTTACGTCTTCTTTGAAGAGAAGCAGAACAACGCAGGGGGGGAAGACATGAAAGAGCTTAACTGAGGCCCTCCCCCGAATCCTCTTCCGTGAGCTCACACGACCTGTGCAGCGCTGGCCTCCGAGCCTGAACCCCTGCAGGGTGTTGATGTGGAAAACTGAGCTGCCGGCGCCTCCACAGGGGTGCTCCTGCTGTGAAGCCCAGCTCCTCTCTCTCTCATTCCCAGAGCCCCTCGTCCGCCAGAGGAAGGCAACTCTGCAATCCTCCTTCCTCTTCCTCCCCTGTCCTCTCTGAGCAGCCCCCCCGGGACAGTTGTTTCTGGGAGTCGGCAGGTTCGGAGAGGGCAGCACGAACACCATCAGGGAGCCCTCTGATCTCCGCCTTACCAGACTGCTCTAAGAGCATTTAAAGGCGAGTCAGAATTAAGAAAGCAAATCCGACTGTTATTGTTTTTTTGACAGTTCATGCGTGTTGACAACCTTTAATTGTTCGTCAAAGTAAAACAGAAATCTGGCAAACGTAACGGTGGATGTGCAGGCAGAAATCCTAACATCCTTCAGCTGAAGCACCCTTAATTTAACTAATAATTGTTAAAAGAGAATTGTCCATCATATCATTCTTCAATCTCATGCTTACAAGTGGTGGTTTAGCTATTCTAGTGAATTAAAGCATTAGTGACACAGGGTACACTAATACTTCCCAGAAACGACTCAGGTGTTTCCATTCTAAGCGGATTTCAATGTCTACGACTGAAAATCATTAATCTTGGTTGGACGAAATGTCCTTTTCTGAAATGGCAGGGATTTTTGTAATTTACACTGAATGAACAAGTTACACAGCAGCAGACTAGCAGATAATGTTTTATCCTCAGGAAGAATGAAAGGCACATTTTAAGAAACTGAGTTTCTTCTTGTTTTTCTCTCCCTCTTTCCTTCTTCTTTCACCTCCCTATATGGACCTTAACGGTGGGGAGGGTTAAAAGCTCAGAAAAATCTCTAATACAAAACACGTCTCTAAACATGCCAGTTTAGGAAATACTGTACAGAAAACTCAGCTTGGAAGCTTTTCAAAAATCCCCTCTGCTCTCTAGAGCCTCCCTTCTCAGTCTCCACCCCGCGGCTCGGAAGTTGCAATCAAAACCCAGCAAGATATGATCACGGTCACAAGGAAAATACTCGAGCTCAGAAAAGACACTTTCATACAGGAATCCTGAATGGCCAGAATATAGTCATTCCCCTAACTGTCACAATCTCTGGGGAGTTATTCAGTTGCTGAATACAGTCCAGACTGTTGTAAAACCAAACGGTGTCATTTAAACCCTACCTGCTTTAGTTCAAACCCTGCTGTGACCCTCTTCACACACGGATCTCATCTCAGATTTACAACACTAGGGTGACCTCACTGTGGGGAAGGTTAAAGAACCTGTCAGCTTCGACCTATTTTTGAACATCCCTGGCAGTTTCCTGCGGTCTATTAACCCAGAAGTCCCAGTCCAAGAAGCCAAGGATTCCTCCCTACCACCTGATAAAAGATGCCCTAGATGCATTTACAGAAGACTCCGGGCACAGCTGGCCTCACGACAGCTAGTCAGCTATGTTATTACAGAATGCCTGCACCACAGAACCACCCGAGACATACTGTATTAAACTGTGCTCATCAAACCCTGCTCGCTCCCAGTGAGCAAGCGTGCCCGGGCTGCAAGCTCCCTGCCGGCTCCAGGCAACCCTCCCATCGGACTCAGTTGCTGTGGAGTGGGCACGGTGCCCGCAGCGCTGCCCGCATTGCAGAAATAAGGACCCCACCCCAGATGCGATAACCCCACTGACCAGTACTCCTCGGCGGCGCCCCCTCGGTCATACAGAGGCCCCTCCAACTCGCGGGGTCCAGGGAAGATGCCCTCGTGGTGGCTGATGATGGTCTTGATCAGCTCGTTGACGTGCGCCTGGCAGGAGACCTGGTCATGCCCATCGGGCACCGACATCAGCGTGGGGCCGAAGCAGATGGCCAGGTTGTAGGGGTCCATCATGTTGTCCTCGCTGTACTGAGACAGGCTGAACGTGTACAGACACAGAACGCCATGTCAATGCTTTTAAACCACCAGGAAACGTATGTACACACTTCACTGCTCTGCAGGCCAGCACGACTTACACCTCAATATCCTTCAATATGGATGACAAATAACACCTGAACATGTACACATCTGTCTGCAGCTGTTTACTTCAATGTCAGCACCAAGTACATTATCTTCCGTTAGCAAGTTCACTGGTGCTCCTTCTCTTGCATTCTACAACCTCCTACTGCACATGAAAAAAGCTGTGATCGGCAATATTCTAGACACACAAAGCGTGCCAATACTTAATGTCAACAGATGCATGCGTATTTATATAGGCTTCACGAGTATTTATTTTAAAACTATAATGCACGATTCCTGTATTTCTATCAGGTGCTTTTTACTTTAAACAACCTGGCCTGTAATGTCAGAGCTGTATTATGCATCAGAACTAAGAAACAATCCAGTCTGGATTCCAGGGAGATAGAACACTCTCCATCACAGCTGGTTTATTTTACAGCAGCAACCGCCCTGCTTTTCTCTCTGCCTCTGTCTGTGGCCGTGCTGGCCAGACTGTCCTGGGAGCACTGACCCCCTCTTGAGATACCCCCGCTTTGTCCTCCAGCAGGTCACACAGGAAACCTGAGATCAGAGAGGAAGGGTGTGTGTGCGTGGTGGTGAGGGCTGTGGTGGGGGAATCACTGTACTGCTCCTGTTGAGCCAAATCATTAAATTAAAGAAGAATTTATGCGCCCGTCCTGGACAGTAACAAGTCAGGCTTCTAATTACCCCGGTCTGCTCATCTGGATTTCATTTGGACTGTTTTACTGCCACAGATGTGTGGTTCTTCCTTACGATTTTCACTGCCATTTCTTGGGATTCCCCAGGTCTGGACAAAACAGGGGATTCGAGTCTCCAGCACCCTGTCCTAACACCCAGGACCGACCCGCTACGCGTGACGGGTCTGCATCCTGTTGATACCAGCTGTACAACAGGCCGCTACTCTGAAAGACTGCTGGCTGGCGCAGAGAACTCGTCCCCTGCTCAGGACCAGAGCCTCCAGAGCTTGGAGAGCGCTCGCTTGATCGGATTTTAGAAAATGACCTGCGACACGTTTGTGACAAAATGGGTTTTATGATTCTGCAAAAACACGGAATGATGAGCAGAAGCAAAAAAAAAAAGGCTTCATGCTTGTAAAAATAATAATTATTAAAACATCATAAAAATAATAATAATAAAAAAATACTGAAGTCAAGAGTGCGCCAGGCAGACTAAAAGGAATGGCAGCAGGGTGAAACTGTGGTTTAACGTGGTAGACACAATGTTTCAACACAGGCCTTCACAGGTGAGCAAGCTGGGGAATGAGCAGGACATGCTACAGTAGCGTGACAGAGCGCTCAATGGGTCATTACAGCGGAAGGCTACAATGTGACACCAATCCAGCTTCTGTGACCTTGAACATACAGTAACTGAGTAGCCACAGTGTAGCCAGCTGTTCCTGCTACAGGCCCAGGTCTGTCCAGGGCACGGCCACAATGAGCCGCCGGTCCCGGCTGGCGAACACGGCGCACTCACTGGTTGAGGAAGGCGAACAGGTATCTCATGACGACCAGTGTGGAGGTGGGAAGGGACAGCAGGACTTTGCGGATGTGCACAGCTCTGTCCTGGGGGTTTTCCAGAGCTAGAAAAGAGCGCAAGGGAGGAAAACACAAAAGAAAGCAACAAAATTAGTCACTTTCCACTCTCGTGCAGTGGAGTGCTTCAGACTGACGAAACTTAAAAGATGAAGTCATCACCAGTTTATGACAGGTTTATGCAGCTCTCCAGCAGTAGTTCATTCACACTGTATTGTTCTCTCCCTAGCCTCCATTCATAGCTTCCTGAATTGTAAATGACTACCAATATAAGAATGTAAGCTTGCAAATGAAAGCAGGC